GGTTAGTCGTCGAGTTCTAGGTAAGGAGGGGAAATCAATTGACGAAGTCGTGAAAATACAAAGACTGAGATGGTTAGGGCATGTGTTACGTATGCCAAGTCATCGCCTTCCTCGGCGGGCATTGTTAGCTGACATAGGGTTAGGCTGGAAAAGAGCTAGCGGCGGTCAAACCAAAACATGACGTCATCAGTCAATAAAATCCACAACAGTTAGTTTAAGCCAGTCACGTAGGAAGGTGTAGACTTCCTTGTTGGGGTCCTCAGGATGGTGACAACCAATGATTGGAAACAATTGGTGATATAGCTCAAATTCGTTGTCAATGGTCGGCGCAGAAGCATCCACTCCTTGTGACTTATGATTTCCAATGAAACTATATTATTCTTCGTTATTACTCCTCCTTTGTCTCACACCTCTGTTTACTGTCTCTATTATGCATTTCTTCTACTTTCTTCTGTTGCTTTGTGTGCTACAAGGAGGGATTGTGGCGACTTGAACAGCCGCACATATGTGCAAAGTTCTATGTCAAAAACAGACGGAGAGACAGATTAAAATAGAACAAAAATACTGTCTAATGGTGTTTGGAGTTAATGGTTCCTTTAACTTATAGAAAGTCACAGAATATACACTTGAACCTTAGTTAGCTTTCAATACACCAGTAAAATTAAATTGTTTTTATTCGTTTATTTATATACCGCCCTTTAATACCTTAAGTAATTTATGTCTGTTAATAACAGACCTCCTGCAGTTCTCTTTTGTTCTTTGAAAATGAAAAAGTTACTGTTTTATAGCCATTAAAAAGTTCTGTGATTCAAAAATGGTGGGAGATTGCACTTCAAGTGGTTAGAAGTTATTTTGTATAATTCTATTCATCGAATATTTTATCATATAATGTTGTTCTTGCGTAAAATCCTCATCTTTCGTTTAAATTTCCCAGAGAACTGTTTTAGTCCAGATGAAGCTCTGAATAAGCCAGCTGAAATTCTCTGATCACGTTTAGAAAACATGATGTTTTAATCTTTAGTTTTTAATTTTCACTGTCTGAGCTGAAAAAGAATAGTAAAGGAATGTATTATTATGCAAGATTTTATATTTCTTCACTAAGCTAGTGACTCCTGTCGAACAATCTCTTGACACGTATGACGTTATGCGCTTACGCATACTAACAAATAATTAATTTGCTCAATATTCCTTGAGTATTTAAATTGTAATAATTTTTTTTCTTGGTATTGACCGTATGCAAATTAGTTGGTCTTGTCAACTTGTTTCATGTAGATATCTTCTGTTGGTTACTGATTCACTTTCACACACACACACACACAAACGTACAGAAGCAAGCACATGGACTGTCATTCTCATAATTGTCCAAACACATAAAAGACCACCATTTAAATTAAGTCAGTTAGTAGAGGAATACTCATTTATGGTTGATGCTTTATTGGACACTGATTTTCACTAATAATTACGTTTCAGGAAATAAATTTTTAATTAAAATCAAAATTAACATACAAAGTTTTATCGAACAAAGAAATTTAATTTTCTGTGAATCACCTTAACAAAATATGTAATTCTAACTCTGTTGATAAACTACTGGATATAAATAATTTACGATTCAATGTACATCTAGAACCTGGGTCTTAAGAAACACCTAACATTTGAAAACCGATTAAAAGACGAATTCTTAGTAAACGATTGCTGTATGATCAAGAGATCAGTCGCCGAAACAAGTGATTAATGGCCTTTTCAATTTCGAAGAAAACATAATCTTAAATTACCGATAGTAATCGTAACAGAAACAATAAGTGTGATAACATTCTATTGGTAACAGTATGTTTAAATATCAACCATTCAAATAGAGCTCAAGTAAATGAGTTAGTAAGAATGTGAACCAGTGAGAAATTCCTGCAACCATCTACTCCTCCCCCTCTTGCTGCTCATACAGCTGTGAAAAATAAAAATAAGCTCTCCTCATAGAAACTACTCACCCACAAACGAACTAGTACAGCCGAAGGTTGTTTGACTTCGGTTCTCCTATCGAAATGTTATCATCTGGCTTCTGGCAGGTATGTCCTATTTACTTTCTTCCCGTGGTGGTGTTCCTCCCAAAATCGAATGAGCGAATGCAGATGTCTGTTCTTACGGCTGCACTGAAGAACATGCTGTTACGAGTAGGACATCTGCAAAACCCAAACCTATGGTATACATTGACTCAAGAATCTGAAAGGATCGAATAGCATATGAACTTGTTTTGGTTAACAACAATCATGGGAACGCAGCTCCTGACAGTGCTCAACTGTCTTGAGAATCAAACTTCCGATCAGAGGCCTGGGGTGTATCTCCTTAAGACAAATATCTTATTTGGTGTGGGCATCCGGTGAGTATCCCGGCCCTCGCAAAAACTATGAGATTTTGTGTGGCGCATTTCTTGGTGCCCACAGTGTACCAAGTCTGTGTTTTATTAATAATAATTATTATTATTTTACATCATATCTCGTGTCAAGCAATAAAGTAATTCATTCTTCATAGCTACTCAGTGTAAACTGCTAGTGTGACTAATTCCTGTTTTTAATTTGTGGTAACCATACTCAAACGTTTCCAACTACAGTAAGAAAAATAAGTGGAATACGTCTCACTGCTTATCACTAATTAAATTAAAATGATTAACCTTTTTTAGATAAGATAAGATAATAGCTTTGTTCCAAATCAGTACTTGTGATACAGAGTGGAATTCTCAGCATTTTTACTACAATATTGCATCCAGTTAGTACATTAACAATAAATATAGTTCTACATAGATTAAAGCTATCTCAGTCAGTTTTGACAACAACATATTAGCATGTCGGTAGCAAAGCCAAAATTTAAACTGAGTGTTTGAAGGTGTCAGAAAATTATATACTACTGGCATATTTACTGGCGTAAGCGATAGCAAAATGGTCGAGATATACACAGTGTGAAAGAACGAACAAGAATGTTTTAAGTAGAGTTTGTAAGGAAGAGAGAAACAAAACAGCACATAACAAAAATAAATACAGAATGAAAAAAAGGTAGAGAGGAGACGTTGTACCTGTAAATAATGTGAGTTGGAAAGACGAGATCCATTTGTTCCACTGACTATTTAATAAGTTAAAGGTTTCACGCCTAATGCTTTCTTTATCGCACAGAACACGAGCTAGGTAGGGTATGGATGAGTTTTTGTACTTACTAGTGCGGGCATATAGTTTCCTATATAGGCTTCTGGTTTTCCCTGAAGAGATACATGGGAGAGTTGTGAATGTAGAGGGTGTTGTGAGTCAGATAAAATGGATTTCGCCCATTTTTCACATGAGTCCATGTGCCTGTCCACCAGAATATTAACAAGCTGGCTAAGTGGCAAACTGCTTACCCTGCTGACAACCTTTAACATCCTACGTAATAAGGTGTAGTCTTTCTTCAATAGCCCATGAAAGACTAAGGGGGAACAATAGAGAATAATAGGTAGAGTAGGGAAGTTAACAAATTGTAGGAGTAAGGGTTGGGTTACACCAGAATGTCTTAACTTCTTGATGTAGAAGGTAAGACGGAATATTTTCTTAGAAATCGTCAAGATATGAGACGACCAGGAAAGATCAGAAGATAGAGTGACGCCTAGGTATTTAACTTCCGACTTGGTTTCAATTTCAGTGCCATCTATGTTGCACACCTCGTGAGTGTTAACCAGTTTGTTTAGGTCAGAGTTGTGCCTAAAGGTGAAATCAACTGTTTGGCATTTGGAAGGGTTTAAGCTGAGACCGTTTTCCTTGGACCATTGGCTGATTTCTGATAAGAAGCCATTTAGTTTAGAGCAGTCACTTTGACATTTGACAGGTAAAGATACAGTTAGGTCATCAGCATAATTGACAAAGTTAATGTCATTTGAAGATGGTAGGTGATGTAGAAAGAAGGAAAAGAGAAGTGGGGGAGTACAGCACCTTGGGGAAACCAGCTTCAGTGAGCACAGCAGAGGAGGATTCGCCTTTGTATACGGTGTACTGCATTCTGTTTGAAAAGTAGGAATGCAACCAGTTAGTGACCCAGGACTCGGTTTGTGTCATGGAGAGCTTATTTAGCAAGAGACATCTAGGTACAGAGTCGAAAGCAGAAGTGAAGCCAAGAAACGTGCAGCGGACATATTTGGCACCTTTATCTAATGATGACACAATACTGTTGTGTAAGACAGCTGCAGCGTCCAAAGTACTCCTACCCTGTCTGTAGGCAAATTGTTTGGGGTCTTCGAAGCTTTCAAGGGGGGTTCAAGTTTAAGAAGTACTAGTTTTTCCATGAGCTTTAGAAACGGGGAAGTGATGGAAATGGGTCTGAACTTTACGTTCTTGCTATTGTCAGGTTTAGGGACAGGGACTATTTTAATGTCTTTCCATGGAACAGGTACAGCGTTTTCGGAGAAAGAAGCATTTAGGATATTAGTTAGAAGAGACCATAAAGCATCTGCACATTGTTTTAGAACATATGCAGGTATGCCATCAGGGCCAAGACTACATGAGGGCTTAAGAGTTTTAAGACATTTTAAAACATCAAGAGTGTTAAAGTCCTGGAAGTTATCAGCTACAAGATTAGTAATGTTAGAAGTGGTTATAGTAGAAGGAGAGCGTATAAAAGACTGGTTAAAAGCATTAACATCACAAGAGGGAAAAACATTACATCGCTTACTATTGCCAGTAATTTCATTGAAAAATTTCCACATGCTGGTAGGAGATTTGCATGATAAAAGTGTTTGGTTATAGATCGCATTAAGATTTTTGATTTCAGATTTGATTTGAGCATTGATCTTTTTAAGTCCTAACTTGTCTTTGCGTTTATATAACATTTCTTTTTGCCTGCGAAGTTGTTTGAGATGGGGAGACGAGAAGCGGTCGAGGCGTTTGAACAGTGTTTGTTTGGGACAGCATATGTCGAGACAGAACTTAGGGTAATCCGTTATATTGGTGATTGAGTCATCTAATGTACTTTCATAGAATAAATCTCAGTCAGTATTTTTTAACATGCATCTTAGATTGAGTAGGTTATCAGATGTGTAGCATTTTTGTTGTGCTTTCTTAGACAGGTGTGAGAAGACTTTGATGTGTGTTTTGCTGTATATTTTTGGTAAAACACGGACAATGCAGTGATCTGAGTTTAAGTATCGGTGAGCGTCTACGTGTTTCATATACTCCTTCGTCATTAGTAAAACCTAGATCGAGTGTTTTGTCAAGTCGAGTGGGAAATTTGACTATGTTTGTGTGACCAAGAGCTTCAAGAAAGGAGCAATCTGAGGAGTTGAAGTCCCCAGTAATAACGGATGGAGAGTTGTCGAAGTTGGCAGCAGCAAACATGGTGAATTCATCAGCAAAATTAGATAGATCAGACGGAGAGCAACTAGGAGAAATGTACATGTTTGTAATATAGATTTGTTTATATTTGGGAGATGTTTGGGACGACATTTGACAGTAATACAGTCAATGAAGTCACTTGAGAAGGTGAAGCAGACATTATTAGAGACAGACCATTCGGAGTGAATAAAAGCTGCAACGCCACCACCATTTTTCTTATTACAACATTGACGGTCTTGACGAAATAAAATAAAGTCCTTTAGTGAGATGAGATTATCATCATACAGTTCATGCAACCTCGTTTCTTGTAATGTGATTATGGCGGTATTATGATAAGTATCATAAGTACCTACGTTGGAACTTTGAAATTTACCATAGCCAGGTGAAATTCCTCCTTTGAGCCTACGTCTAATGTTATGTTATGCAGAAATGAAATTATAATTTTGCTTATTGAAAATGAAGAGTAAATTGGTGGCCAAAAATTTAAGGGTTCACAAATGAAAATTTAATTTCTCCGATGACTGTTAGATTTTCTTAACTCAGTCGCCTGGAGAATTTATTTTTATCAGATAAAGCTCATGGCAAGACATTTGTATTTTGGACTTTAGTGTTTCATCCTCAGCATTTAAACTCTGCAATATTCCTGGATGTTCTATATTTTATTCTTACGACCCAAGGGTAAAAAAAACCAGTTTTTTCTTAAAACGATCAGTAGGGAATCTTATGAATGCGAAAATCTATTGTAAAACTTACCTTAATGAGTTTTCCGTATATACTCACTACCTGATCCAAGTAAATCAATAGATAATAGCCATACTACTTAGAATTTACCAGTATACAAGAGAATTTCAGATATCTTAATTCCCTGATAAAATATCAAAATAGAAATACTTAAGCATTTTGCGAAATGAACAGGAATGTTCATTCACCAGTATGCGCCTACTGATTTGGTTCAGCGAAATAAGCGAGTAGTAAAACCAGAAAGGAAGCTGCTTAAAACTTTTTATTCAGCATTTTTGCCAACTATAAGTTAATATCCTTGATTGAGAATTTCTACCATGAAGTTAATTTATTTATTGAGTGATTTCATCATGAGCTGACATCAGTTAGAGAACCACTGGAAAACCTGGGAGTACTGGACAACTGTTTCGTCCTAGTTTGGGACTCCTCAGCAGTACGCACCCATCGGGGTTCGAACCCAGGACGTTCTGGTTACAAGGCGAGCTCGTAGACCATTGAGCCACGCAGGTGGATGTCTACTGATGAGGAGTCCCAAACTAGGACGGAGGAAACAGCTGTCCAGTACTCCCAGGTTTTCCAGTGGTTCTCTAACTGATGTCAACTCATGATTAAATCCTCCATGCAATCAAACAAAATCCCTACAAAACCAATACTTGGAAAAGAAATAATATCTTCTAATTTAGTCGTTTTAGAGTAATTTAACTTTTTGCTTCACCCTGTATTTCACTTTAAAAATCCTTCATTTCAGTTTACTTGAAATTTTATCATCCCACACTAGCCTCATTAATCAAATGCTGGTAATGCTTTAATATGAAAAGTTTTACAAAATGTAAAATCTAGAAATACAGTATTTCTCACCAAAGAATTGATAAATTAAAACAGAGGTCGTTATGTGAAAAAACCGTATGAATATCTTTTAGTTTTTCATACTAATTTAAGGGTATCATTGAAGAATAAGCAGTAGATTCTTACTCAAATGAGAATGAAAAGATGAGATGAAAAGTTTAATTAAATAACCCTGATGTTAAGAAAAGCTTCCTAAAGCGCCTAAACGAATACTCTTTATTATTCACTAGATATCTTCCCAAATCGCCTACAATTTCAAATTTTACTATCTTCTAACCATCTCAAAGACATTTTTGATTTTGCTGTGGCAATACTTTTCCATAATCATTTATATTTTTCTTTACCTTACAAATAGTCGAGATAATTTCGAAAACAGTTTTTATCAAGACGTCATGGGAACTTAAAAATTGTTGATAATAGCAAATACTACAACATCTATTCCTTTTTATGACACACCTATCCGCCTAATAATGTCTACACACGCATTTGTTACAGTTTATTCAGTCAAAGTTGATTTTTTTAATGGTAGCTAACAGGGGAATTCAGAATGCTTGGTTTCTTCCACTTGGGACTCATGAGTAATGGGATGGGCACTGAGACTGAGTCCCGATAGCCAGTAATTTTAGAGATATGGCACCATTCAATGGTCTAGTGAGAAGTACAATCCATCTTTTGTGCAGCCAATATGAAACAAATGTTTTCGAGTTAGTAACCAGGGTAATATCGATATGTACGTTCAGTGAGACCATATGCCAGAATGAGGTCGAACAATTCAGTTTACAAATATCAACTAAAAATTACAAGTATGGATTCATTTATCCAGTCAGTTGAAGTAAAGTCACCCACGTCTTCATTTTCTGAATCTAGAGCATTAAATAAACTCCTACAGTTGAGAGTGATTGTATGGTATATCCCTTTTATTCGAAGTGGCTCCACCTTTATCCGCTGGGTATTAATGCGTCTCAATAAATAAGCCAAAATATGCCAGCATGAATCCATGAAAACTAAAAAATATACGTTTAACTTTTCAATTCCCCTCATCCTCTAATCCATTAAATTGTATTGACATCAATATCAAGCAAGATTTTCTGACTAAAGCGCAGTCAATGTGACAAAGTTGAAGAACATAACATCACCGATAATATTTATGTCAGAAAAAACTTTTAATGCAAAATTTCATTTAAAAAACACTTAAAAACGTAACCTATCACTAAACTACCACAGTAACGGACTACGAAACTAGTTAGCGCAGTTGTGCAAATATGTCACTCCACATTTGGTAACGAACCACAGTATACAACGCTGCACAAGGTTTTGTTTGAAAACAAAGCAAATTCTACGTGTAGATTCCGACCGAATATTAAATGCATATTAAACGAAATGTATGCATGGGACCTCAGTTTATCCCCTGTGCAAATAAACTTTTTATTTGTGTTTAATAACTGATGACGATTTCAGGTGGAACAAATAGTAGTGAATGGAAATTGCTCAAACGTTTGAACCAAGTAAAAATATAGCCCTAAAGTAGGTCACATAGTCATTTTTATGCAAACATTGACTTTAATTACCATACACTTTCTAACGTCTTCCCATGCAGATGCACCTTATCTTGCCAATGAATTTCATCCATGTCTCTCTCTCTCTATATATATATATATATGATGATTTCTGTATGGGTTACATAAGTGTTTTGCTTAAAATAAACCACATTAAATACCAGGATAAATTCATTAAAGCACTACCGTGGCATCATTTAATCTGAAACAAGAATTTCATTCCATCCTAAAATTGTATGACTCACACTGAGACACAAAAACAAAGTACCTCTCCTTCAAATTACACAAGTCATGAATAATAACGCTTTTGGGTCGCTGGACAATGTGTTAAAGCAAGGAAAAGAAAGAGAGCAAGACACAAGGATTTGTTAATTTCCAGGCGTTATTCAAACCTTTTCAAAGTAAAATTGTTGGGATGCTAATCTTCAAGGGAAACGGAAACTCATAAAACTAAAATAAAAAGGAAAACACCCGTAGTCTTTCATTTTTCATTTCAAGTACACTAACATTGACTATTTTGTTCAAAAGTGCAGTCGAAAACCTTAGGATTAAAATTCCAGTACATATTCTATGAGGGAATTTTGAACACATTCATAAGGGTAATTGACATGTCTAAGTGAATGGCTTACCATAATACCTAGATTGGATAAAAACACTAGCGATAGTAAAACAGGCAAGAGTAATGTTCTCGTGGATTTTAGAATAGTACCAAACAAAATAAGTAAAGTTTAATTGTAGTAATTTCTAAGTTCGCAGCTGAAATTCCCGAAGGAAATAGAAAATCTTATTCAAAACGGGAGATCGTGTGTAGCTGACAGCAGTCAATTATGAATAAGATTAAACAATGGTGTACTTATGAATAAGTTTATTTCACAACTTTCAAACTGGGTCGTGTTACTGTTGCATTTTTTAGATTGCAGAAGTTCTGTGTCTGGGAAAGGTGCGACTTCACATTGAATGTGATTAAAGCTGTAGACAAACTGTACTACTTTTCGTCTTAGAAGCCTAAAAGCCTTCTAAAACCGTTTTATAATCGGTCAGAACACCGGATTGTAAAGGGGATGTAGCTAATATTTAGACGGAGAAGCCATATTAAATTGCAATGAAATAAACTAACCAAATTAACCAACACGAAAAATACTTTTGAAACTAAATATGTATTGAAATATGTAGGAAGATCTCGAAAGACTGTTTTATATGAAGGTCCAATTTGTCTTTTTCCTGGTTGAGTTGTGATTGAGTCTAATAGTGGGGCATTTTTGAGGATTATAGTCGGAGGTCGTTCACTAATAGGTCTTTCGTCTACATTTGGCCTCTATAACAATTGTGATCTAGTGGTGCTTTTGCTAACTGAAGCTTCCATAACAACACTGACTTAATTTTGATTTCACCTGAAAACTATTTTAGTATTGAAGTGGTAGCGAAAGACGCTTACAGTAGTTAGTAAATTCAACCGTTCATCTTACATGTTTTGAGTAGTAACGAATGTTAACTGTATGATAAGATCGCCTAATCACTTGTTCAGAGGTTTCTTGAAAAAGCTAATGTGACTTTTCAGTTGCCTGTTTTATTTTTTCAAACTCTTTGGTCAGTTATACTGCTATATCTACACAAATACTACATCCGATGCGTATAGAATGTTTGTCAGGAGCTTTGGTAGACACGGGTTTCTCGAAGTTCTTGGCTGTAATAAATTATTAATTTTTGACCAACTCGTTCAACAAAAGCAGGAGAACAGGCAAAACTCAAATGCTGAGACACTGGTATGTCAAGGCTGATGAGATTGTTCTTACTGAGTATTTGTTACAAGTGAAAACAGGTTGTGCTTACCTAACTTTTTAAAGCCTATTAAATATATTTAGTGATCCTGGATAGAAAACCCATGAATTAATTCATGCGAGTAGCAGGACTAACATCCAGGACTAACAATAATTAAAAATAAAGACATTTCGATTATAAATTATACATAATTTACTCAACCTAATTTATTTTCATAAGATAGTGTAATGTAACAAAAAATCAGCCAAGACAATCCATAAAGACGATCGTACACAACAGTGGATTTAAATTCAAGGTAATATTAGTTATTTCGTAAACTATGTATAAAAGCTGCTGCTGGAATTTAGTTTCTATTTTGTTAAAATAATTGCATCAGCACTGACCACTTTTTGTACTCCACAGACTAAAAATCAGCAGCTGGCATCTGGGATACATTTTCAAGGCTGAATCTATAAGAATCCTCGAATGTTTCCTCTGTCTAAAAATATATAAGATTTTTATGTGGTTTGAGATATCACTGACTGCACAAATAGTTATGACGCAATAAAATCTAATGCTTCTCATAAGGCAGATCAAACTCTATTATTTTAACAGAAATCTTCTCTGTGGTCAGCATTTGACAAGG